TAAATTGCCAATCTTGGGCAGTAGCAAGCCTACAGCAGTATAAGGTGTTGAGAACTGCTCTCCTTTTCATTCACCTCATCTGGTAATTTTGGGGCTGCTTTGCTGCCAAGTCCAGTATTCAGTTCTGACAAAAGTACTTCACTTGTGTGTTACAATTGTGACTGGGCTGGTTGGCTCCACCACCACACTAAGAACAACACAGTCAGCCCTCTTACATTTATGGGCAGTTAAAGGGCATATTCTGACTTCTGTTTAACACGAGAGAAGCAAAGTTCAGGCAGCAACAACCCTCTTACTTAAAAGATAAATGTTTTGGAACAGCAGACATAGCTGTGGAAGAGTTCAAACCTGTTCTTTGCTAAGGGACTCTGAAACTCCATTTTCCATTTTTAACTGGTGTGCCCCAATCACAAGATTACAGTGTTCTGTCTTACTTGAGCTAAGAACAGTCACAGCACCCCAGCAGCAGTACTTGCAAGGTGGAAGAGATGTTAATTTTAGTCCCTGTTCCAGAGGAAATAAAGCACAGGAAGTTCACCTTTGGGGTTCAAACTTTTGTCTGAAGCCTCCCACTGCAATTCACTTAGTCCCAGGGACCTGGGACTGGCCTTTGCTCTTCCAACATGAAAGGCAGGAAAGCTGCAGAGGCTAACTGGTGTTTCATTTTCTTAGACAGATGAAGAGAAGAGACAGGGTCTCCCTGTTGTGATGCCAGTATTTGATAGAAATACCTGCAGCATTCCCAAGTCTCAGATTTCCTTCATTGATTATTTTATAACAGACATGTTCGATGCATGGGATGGTAAGTAGTTCTCCATCTTTTTCCTGGCTCTCAGGCAGCAATTTGTACAGATTAAAAAGAATAATCTCAAACTAGCCATTAGTATGTTTTTCCACAGGGGCAGCACAGTATTTAGTATACAGCCTTCAGTCTGCAGTACAGCTTGATGTTGAATTTGGTTTCTGCCACCATGCAGTGTGAACTTCCCACTTCACAAAAGCTGAGTACTTACCAATTATGTAAAGAGAGAAGGAATAGTAGCTTAAATCTATGTTTTTCTATCTAGGTCTTTTTTCCTGAAAAGCAGAAACCAACATCAAAGTATTTGCATGATAGGAATAAATGGCTAAACTCCTTATAAACTAAGGGATTCACATGAAGGAGAAAGACTGAAAAAAATCTTTCCCTGTTAGCATTAACTTACAAGAGATAGGAGAATGCTGGTTTTAGACAAGGCTGGGCTGTTCTGCTGTACTTTTTGTAGACGTAGCAAAATTGTTCCTCTGTTTCAGCATTTGCACACCTGCCTGTTTTGATGCAACACTTGGCCAATAACTACAAACACTGGAAAATGCTGGATGAGTTAAAATGCAAGAGTCTCAGGCTTCCATCAGAAAACAACAACTGACACTAAAACAAGAAAAACAGACCTCCCAATCTACCAGTTCCACTGTGAATTGCTTACTAACTTGGATACAACGGGGATAGTGTTTCCTTTCAAGTGAAACTAGACTGTTTGTGAAGAACAAAGTATTTTATCTACCATTTTTAAGCTTCTCTGAATTCCACACAAAAATATTTTCAAAAAGGCCATAAACAAGTGCACTTTGGAAATATCATTTTATGGCAGATAAGGTACTTCCAAAACTAATTTCTAGTAACAAATATAAATCTGTCGAATCTTGAATCAAATGCAACTGTATCCGCTAACACTTCACACAGCTGTTTCTCAGAAACAGGTAATCTAGTCACCAGGAAAACAGTAAGTTGAAAAACAACCATAAACACTTCTCAGTTACCTAGCATAAATTTGCTCCAATTCTGCCAATGTTCTTTAGCTCTTTCAACCACAGCTGTAGAGAGAGCGTGCACAGTAGAACAAGTAAACCTCAAGAAACTGGGCACACTAAAAACAAACCCAGCACCGTTAAAAGCAAAACTTTCATTACAGACAATATAAACCTGCCCTTCCTTTTCTATATAAGAAGTGAAATTCCTGTAAATTGGTTATACAGCGGAGGAAAATAAGCAAGTTCTGTGTAATTGGTGCCATCCACATTTTTCTTTGCCATCTTAGATGTTAACATGTGATACTTTGTCAAGTTTTACATATAAACCATTGTGGCAGTTGATCGACATCTCTTTTTATAATGTGATGGTTGTACATGGTCATCAATTTTATTAAACTGATCTAAGCTTTATGACAAGCCATATATTATGCTACATACTTATCAGATGAACCTTCACCTCTAAAAAAAAAAGTTTCCAGGTTATAATTTATAGCAGCATTACAGTTTGTACTGCTTCTTCCTTCCTAACAAAATGCTGCTTTGTTTGGTCACGTAAAAAAAAACCAAAAAACAAAAAAACCCCACAACATTCCAAAAGTTGTAAATAAGTCAGAAAGCAGACATAGTTTTTCATTGGTTTTAAATATGAAATTTATGCTAAAGCTTCCTAAGCACAAATGTGTATTTTTGTACATCTCATTTTAACCACATGCAGACCATGAACATGAGTTCAGATTTTAGACTGTTCTGATTATTCAGTAAAAAATGGCAGAACTGCTGATTTTTAAACACTTTGCACTGCGGGCAAAAGCATCAAATCAGTGACTTGAGTTGAAATGAAGGGTCTCAAGGCAGACTCTTTTCCACACCCTTACACTGTATCTACAACTGAACTAAGAAAGAAATACAAGGAGCTTAGATAGCTGTGGAAGAAAAGTGACCGTGATTGTTTACTGCAGGTAGCTTATGTAATGTGCCAACCTTTTTTTGTATGTTTTGTACCAAGTTTGGAAAACAAAATGAAACATTCATAAAATGTATGTGCAGAAAAAAATGTATATAAGGTATATTTTTGTTAGAATTGTAATAGAATCATACTTTTGGTTGCTATGTGTTAAAATGCTGCACTGTGTATATTTGAAGAATGGTGTTTCTGGTGAAAGATATATAGTAAGAAATAATGAATATATATGCAACATTTTTTCAATGGATTTTTATTCAGATGAGTTGAACCTCTGTTTTTTATACAGTAAACTGCTTTTACCATTCCTTTATCTAGAACTAGTGCTCTCAGTGGTTGTATCTTAACTATTCCAATGACTGAATGCTCACTGCAGCATGCATTAGAGAAAAGAATTTAAACTTCCAAAACTTTGTCCTCTTAATTTATTAAATGCTGTAAGATCATACTGCGTAACTGTAAGACCATAACCATGTAAAACATTTCAATTCAGTATTGTCATAGCTCTGTCACACAAAGAGGAATGTCAATGGCAGAAGGGACGTAAGAAATAAAGTTCAGTCTCAGTACCCGAGTTAAAGCATCAATGTGAAATATTTGTTGCCACATCCTGTGTATTTTTTTACCCAAAGTAAAAAAGTAATTCATGTGGAGTATCACTCCTCTTTAAGAGTAGAAGCAATAAGCATGAATTGATCTTTATGCACCACTTTTGTCAGACTCCTACCTGTCCCAGTGACTAAGTCTGTTGCTTCATACTGTTATCAGTACATACATACTTAAATTGCCTCTTTTCTCTGTATCGATATTAAGGCTATTTCTGACAAAGACATTTACTTTCACAAGAACATACAGAATTCTGCTTTACTGAGATCTGGAAAAAGAAATTTAAAAGGAATCATAACAACAATGAAACGCCCATTGCCCTCCAAACTTTTCACCAGCTTTGCAGCCCTCCTTTGGACACTCTCCTTATCTTGTCATTACAATGGCATCCAGTGCAGGAGGTGAGGCCGCAGAGCACAGAGCAGAGTGGCACAACCCCTCGCCTCGCTCACTGGGCCTGGTGCACTGCAGGGTGCAGTTGACCCTTGGGCTGCCTGAGCACAATGGGGAAAAAGAGCCAAAGAGGAACTTCCTCTCCCACTTTGTACGTCAGTTGTACAGAGTGCAACACTTGCTGAGGAACGCTATCTGAAACAGTGCATTAGAGACTAACGAGCAGATGAGGCTAACATGCTTTCATCCTCACATGTGTAGTAACACATACCCAAAAACATGCTATAACCATCTGTAATCCAATCTCTTTCCCTCCCATAGGATAGCCATCTCAAGAAAAAAACATGCAGTTCAAGATTTAAAGCTGACTTCACCTTCCTGAATATAAAGGGAAACATTACTCAACAATTTCTCCATTCTCTTTTTGTTTTTTAATGCCATTTGGGGTTCTAAATTCGACTCACAAAAGCAGGGAAAAATACAGCCTAAAATGTTATTGTTCTCTGCTCTCCCTTGAGACTTAAAAAGGCAATGTTTGTCTTTTGGGTGTTACAGGAAATGCATGTATCCATGAGAGCTGGGGGAAGCAAATCTAAGTTTCTTCAGCTCCTCCTAGGAAGTTGGAGTGCCTCCTCTTGCTTTTGCTCTGGTCAGGATCCACTTCGCTCTGTTCTAATTACATACACTGCAGCTGCTGGACTTCAAACCTGGACTTAAGCCACTGGAGTCTACAGTACTGAAAACAGTTAACTCACTGATTCAAAAGGAAGCAATGGCATTGGAAAGTTCCAGAAGACGTATCCTGAGCTGTTTTGAGTGCTGGGTCTGAGGAGCAGAACTGAGGACACTGGAGCCCTATTTTAAATTCCTCAAGTCTTCTTGACCCTGGGTACTCTCTGTTCCAGAAAGAGCAGTAGAAGGATGGTAATCCATCCTCCTTCCCACTTCCTTTCCACTGATTTTGGTAATTCCTTCCCCTATTTCCCATCTCATGATGATTACAAATAACTGTTCTGGATTTAACTTAGTGGAAGGTTTTGGGGGATTGGAGAGTTTTTGATTGGTTGGTTGTTTTTTTCCCCCAGCGCTTTTCTTTTCTTTTTTTTTTTTTTAATTATGTTTGTTTTCAAATCTGTTCAGCTTTGCAGACTACTGCCTCTTTCTCAGACTTGAAAAAGGCATTGTGTACTCGGAGGCTTTACGTTTTTGAACTCTAAAATAGTATCTGGACTTACATACATAGAGTAAGTTTCTTTGCAGTCAAATTTTATTCAAGTGTTCAGCTGACAGAACAGATCAATTACTACTGGTTATGAAAATATTTTACATCCTGAAAATCCCCAGTAAGGACTGCACCTCTGTGACAGACAAATGAATTCAATGAGTACACTATGCAATGACTAACTTGAATCAATCACACTTCATGGTAGACATCATAGTGGTGTTATATCAACTCCAGTGTAGGTTAACCCACAGTAAGACTGCAGACTTTCCTTCACATTCACATTTAATGTATATCCAGTTATGCATATTTAGCCTGTATTCAAGCAATTTAAAATTTTGGTTGCAGATCACCATTTTGTGCCAGTTTCTGAAATAACGTTAAACTGCGGAGTCTAGATTCGCGTTCACCATCCTTCCACAAAATAATGAGATGGTCAGCAGAGCATGTAACCAGTCCCAGTTCACTGAAGTACAGGAACATCTGCAATGAAACCATTACGATTATTATGACACTCACATGATATTATCAGCTGGCTTAAATGTTCAGTGTAACCCTGGACTGAAAAAGTACATGTGTCTGAAATGGTTCTGTTCAAAACATTAGGTATTCAAAGTTGCAACATATTTTCTGTATGTTTGAGATGTCATAAAATGTCTGTATGAATACAACCCTTAAATAACACTTTGCCCTGAAAGATTGCCATGTGAAGAAGGAAGTAAAGCTTTACAGATAGAGAAGCTAAGGTGCAGCAACTTGAATAAAACCTTTTCTAAGTCAGCAGTAGAAGGGGCATGAGTTGCATGATCTCTGTCATACTGTTTCTGCTCAGAAATAGAAACCACTGTAGTGTTCATTTGACTACACAGTACCACACTACAACACAAGCTACTCCCACCAGGCCTGGAGAAATCAAGAATAAATACCTCTTCAGAGACACTGGCATGCACCTGGTCACACACAGAGGGCGACAGGCCAGTGAGAACTGTAATATACGAGAAATATAGAAGTAGTGGAGAAATTCCACAAGAGCAGCAGAGCCAGTAAGTAGTGATCCCTGACTTCAATGACCACAAGGCTGCCTTTCATCAGCTAACATTTCAACATAGCATTCAGTGGAACAAGGCCACACAGAGACATCATGGCATGCTTGCAGTGCTCTGACCTCTCAAGATACTGAAGAGATTTGTCTGGAGAAAGAACCAAGATTGTGTACAGCCTATTTTCCCCAGGAACAGACAGTTATTAGCTCTGTGATTCCAGTAAAATACACAAGTCAAGCACACATCTTTGACCATTACATTTCATCCACACTCAACATCTCCAGCCTGAACTGCTCCCGTCTGTCTAGGGTCTAAAACACTTTCCATATGTAGAGCCATGCAGGAAATGATTGTCACCATTATCTTAGCTGCTACTTGATTCTAAAGCATCGCAGTAAAGACAAAACATATCGGGACAGAGCAAAGAAGGCAAGAGACAAACTAGACACTACATCTCCTTTTGTAGGTACCTACTTTTCTTACTACTATGATAGTCTCTCCTAATAGTTTTTGAAATAGTTTTAGAGAGAAAGATGGGAGAGGCAGAAAGATTTGCAGAAATCTCTGTAGCAGATAGGATCATTCTATCTATTAATGAGAAGCTGCCAGCTTTTACCAGTTCTGAAATCCAGCTAGTTTCATGCATACTTTTGAGCAAAATTACTCCAAGACTTGCCTCCTCCTCCCTTTCTCATTACCAAACCTTTCTCCTGCTCCTAGCAAGAATATAACAGTTCACTGCAAGAAAGCTGTCTTTCACTCCAACATTTTTGCCAAACGTTAACATTGAAAACACAAGTGTGGAAGGGGAAATACCATTTAAAAATACGTATACTCTGTTAGGCAGCACAGCACAATACCTGATGTAAACTTAAAAGACAACCTTAAGGCTCACAGCACAGGAGTTACAATTACTGAATTGATTTCACTTTCATGAGCCTTTGTACAGACTGTAAACTTAAGATGAAATTTTGAATAAGCATCCAGTTCCCAGTTGTACTGTTTGCAGTCTCCAAAAGAACCCAATATCCTACCATATTTTCCATAGCATTTTCGTACAGTCACAGACTTCATGCATCTGTCACTGTTCAAGCTCTGATGAACTTTAGATTACTAATATTATCATTTTCATACTGTTCTACATATTCCACACAACCAATGTGTCTATTTTATTAGTTGCTAAAACTCTGATGAATTTAGAAGGACCTAAAGCCCAAGACTCCCATACAGCTCCATAGTATGATGAAGACATTCCCAGCCTCCCGACCTACAGAGTCAAAAGTTACAGCTTTTTAAAGAACATAAGTATTACATAAGTTAACATAAAATTACATAAGTAAATGAAATTCTTTTTTTTCATCCTACTAAAACTGGCCTACCTGTACAGCTGATGAATGACCAATCAGATCACCAACCAGCTCCAAAAAATGCATAGGTGTATTCTCCTGCACCTTCTTAGCTTGGTTTGCCTGCTTGTTTGCCCTTCCAAATCCCCACATGTTGAAGAACCCTGTAGGGGGGAAAAAAAAAAAAAGTTTTCTTTTGGAAAACAAACAAACAAAAAGCAATTTTTATTTCCATTAGCTAAAAAGAAAGCTTTGAGAGTTGCTTGTAATCTAGAAGTATGACAGTCTGCATGGCAAAGTAACTGAAGCATTGTACTGCACAGCATTTGTGAATCAGAATTACTCATTTTTATGGCAAACACATATTTTGAATCTTGTTATAATGTGGCAAATTTTGCATTACTCACTTGGATAAGAAAATATATGTATTCAGCAGAAAATCCAGAAGATGCTTAAATGAACTAACTGAATGGCAAAGGCAGATACAGGACAGTGATGCTCTGTTCTGCTAAACTGCCCAGCTGTCATTTGTGCTCACAAGAGAAAAATGAAGTGCTGATCTCGTCCCTGTGTGTCCTTCACTGCACCTTAGAGCACTGCACACAAGTAGCAAGCAAGTTTTTGGTGCTGAATTGCCTGCTTTCATAACACTTACTGACTTCTCATTTAGTCTTAAAATCATCACCCAAAATGTTCAACAATAATCCTCCACGCATTCCACTTAGGTACAAGAAAATACATACCTGAAGAACTGTGTAATGACATTTACAGAATGAGAAAGTTTGAGTTCTGTACACAGTGAAGTTCCATCTTCGTTCCTAACCCATCCTTCAGGCCTATCAGCAGACACAAAGAAGTGTGCTAGGCCAAGGCCTTGGTACAAGGCAGATGACAGGGGAAATGAACTACTACTTAAGGGATTCCTCAGAATGAAAATAGCACAGCAACAGCAGGCTAGCCATCCCACTATGGCATATGGTTTCTTTGAAACCTAGGTCCGATTATCAAAGTTAAATATTTCAAACATGAAAACACATCACAATAAGCAGCTGAACTGCACAGACCAGCTGTCATAAGCAATACTGAAGCAGGACATTCCTGAAAACCAACCCAGAAGGCAAAAAGATTTGCAATTAGAAAAAAATATTAGAAAAACATCTTTATAACAGTCCTATCAGTCAAGCAACAAGACCCTGAGGGCTGTATGCACTTGAAGTTGGGACAATCTCAAAGTGAGTCCGAAGTTCAAGGAAGAGATATAGAAATCTTTTTTTGTGCCAGCTGTTCATTTCCAAGTTAGTCTTCAACCTTTTTTACAAAGTCTTGCAACTTACTTTTGGCAGGTAGAGTACCCAGTAAAAGGAGATGTGAATGAAAGTTTGACAGGAGAAACAGTAATTTTTGTTAGACCAGCTAATATAATTGAAAACTGAAATAAGCTTTATGGCACAGAATTGCTCCAGTAGGACCTTCTAAATTCTCAAATCAGATTTTAGGTGGCTTGGATGCCCAATGTCTTCTCTGGTTCCCCTCCCACATCTGTCCCAGTGATTGAATACATGACATTGTCTCGTCTTAAAAAGCCTTCAAGCTTTTGTACACCTGAATAGAGTTCTCTGGTTTTCTAAATGCTGTTTTCACCCACACTCCAAGCAAACCTGTTGGAACTGGTTCATTCGGCAGCTGCTGCTTTTCTCGGAGCTCCCAAATGCGTACACTGCCATCTTCTGAACAGGATATCAGCTGCCTGTCAAAACAGTTGATAGGCAGTACAAGCATGGATACAAATAAGCTGTATCTGTAGCAGGACAAACTATAATGGACTTGAAACATATATGGAATATGTATGTTTTCAAACTTAAAAAAAAAAAAATCACACTAAAACACATCTACACTCTGCAAACACACAAAATGACTTCAGCAAGCTTTCTTTCACTAACCAAAACCATATTATTTATTGAAACAGAACATAAGGAAAAACAGCCTTTTTCACTACACATAAAGGATGTGCTTAGAAAAATGTGAATTTTCAAAATCAAGACCCCAATTTTTAGCTTCTGACAGAATTTTGCTCCATCAAACTTAAAAATAAACGGATTTAAAAAACGCAACTCCTAGATAACATTAAAAACTTGTCATATATGTAATTTTTGTTAATTTTTTTTTAACTTGGCTGTCCAAAATAAGTTCTAGCCAGAAATTCCACTTTAATGAAAGAAGGCTGGAAGTTGTTATTTTTTTGCTAAAATATTTTGTTAGTTCTGGTAAATAATTTTCATTAAATATCTAAGATCTGCCATAGGTCTTTGCTTTACATAAGTAAAACACCATTAAGCTGTATTTCCCAATGTAGACAGAAGTGTTTATGAATACTGACTTTGAAAATAGCCAAGATATTTTATTTTGAATCTGTCTATCAAGCACACTGGATTAGTTATTTCACATTGAATTTCGAAAATAAAATCAACAAGTTCTACCCAGTAAAAGCAGATCAAGCTAAAGATTAAGTCCCTGCCCTAGAAATTAGATATAGCTTTGTAGACTGTATCTAGCCACTCTGCCAAGTTTTGAGCTTCTTTACTGCAGGACAAAATGTACTATGACTTGTACCTGTTTGGAAGCATCTCAATGTGCAGTACAGAAGAGTCGTGAGCAGTTCTCTGGCAGGCAATCACACGCTTCATTTGAAGATTATATACGTATATGCCTTTCCCAACTGCAGCATACACATACTGGAAAGAAAATTCAATGGAACAACTTACAGAAACAGACAGTGAAATAGCACCCTGTGTAATATGGATTTCCAGCAGGCCTTATGATATCATCTAGTCAGCATTACACGGCTAGTTTCTGTACTCACGTTAACTGCTTTATCCTAAGCACATGGAAACAGCAAGTTTCAGAAAAAAAGATAGATCTTTTGGAAGAAATGAGAGATACTCTACTATAAGTGGTTATTTAATTTCAGTACTTTCATCCTCTGTCCTACAGTCTAAAGAGAAACCAGGAATACCAACAAATTAAAACATTTCTACAATTAAACGTTTATATACTTACACTAAAAGTATAGCTCTGTGTTTTAGCAAACCCTATTTTTCTCAAGGAGTGAGAATCCAGAATTCTGAGAATTTCAGGAGAAATCTGAGAATTCTGCATTTATCGTTTTTGTTTTGTTTTTAATTTAATGAATCTGCACAAAACAGTCTTACCCAAGGATACAGGCTCCACTCCCATATATTACACAATACTGTGAAGACCAGTAAGCATTTTATATGCCATGTTCTCCATCAGTACAATGCAGGGATTCCATCTGACAACCACCATGGTTCTAAGAAGCCAGATATACCTTGCATGTCATTGGAACTGGATCTTAGTTTGGTTTTGTTTTATTATGTATATCTACAATGAGAGCTCTATCACCACTGAAATTGAAGTCTTTCCATTAGTTTTTTCCATTTTGAGACACACTCTTGACTTTTTTTTTTAGGTTCCATGTATGCTCTACTAAACGCGCTCTTCACAGAAAACCTTCTTTTACACCAGCCCTGGTAAAATTGCGGTCATTAAAAACCCCAAGAAAATAAGAAAATAAATAAGACGAGGAAGCATGAACGGTACACTGATGTTAACAGGCAGGAGAAGCAGACACCAGGACAGGAGGTGCACTCCTTAGCACACTTTTTTAGTATTGCCAAACCTTTACCATCCCACTGGATTCTGAATGGTGCTATGCATGCAAACGCGGCATCAAATTAGACAAGCTCCTCTTGAGCTAACCAACTACCTAGTCTGCCAACAAAGCTCCTAATAGAGAATTTGTCACTGTAAAAAACATGTAATTAAAAAAAACAATAAAAATAATGAAGAACTGTGTACTGCTTTTAGATAGCAGGTAACAAAGTAATTGATCAGAGGAATACATTTCTAATACATTTCTTCTCCACTTTTTTTGGTAGGAACTTTACAAGACAAAGACAGATCTCCCCTACAACCTTCTCTTTCAGGATGTAGGAAGAAAAGGCGATTCTAGTGCTACCATTCAAACCTCACAATAGAAATACAGTTCAAAATTCTGCAGCAATCTGTGTTTAGTTCAGTTCCATGAACGGAAGAAAGTTCTCAGCAGACTTAGATTCCACCCCATTCAACACTTTAAACTGCTTCTGAACTTCCCAAAATTCCTTTTCTCCTATAAGCTCCATTTTGTGCATTCTTTGAGCAAGGAGTCAGAATGCTTTGAAGCCAAGTCACAGAACTCCTCCTGAAGAAGACTGGCTTTTTATTCCTCAGCACTGACAACAGAACGACATGAAACCCTATGTTTAAACACAGGTACATCTCTTTCCTTCCATTCCCACTCAATGTTTCTATTTACAGTATTTTTGAGAATGCTCTTTCCATAATCATGCAAGACCCCGAATGATGACTTTGCCCTCAGGCTGCATTCAGGCTTTCCCAATTTTCATTCTGTTATAGCTTACACCTTCAAGTCATTTCCAGAAATCTTTTTCTTAATCATTCCCTTGCAATACACCTTCATGCTCCAGAACAGAATCCCACTGTACTCCAACAATGAAATACTTTTTCCTTTGTCACTAATAGGCAGTGACATTTCTCAAAAGTAAACAGCAATCTGAGGATTTTTACCATCTCCTCAATAACGACTGAGCTCTCATAGGTCATCTCCAGAGTAAATGTACAAGAGATGCACTGTTTTGAAAAATGTCATTCCAGAACCATAACACAAAAGATGTACACCATCAGAATGTTGTGGTTTTTTTTCCTAGTGGTACTGCAAACAGCTAATTTTCTTTTTTCAGTCAAAAAATAGTTGTTGAAACAGTCCATAATGTTAGCTCCCATACAGCCAACACCCTACAATCTGCAGTAAGCACAATGACCAAAATCTGCACGTGAAAATTGTGCCCATTTTAAAGAAGTCTATCAAATTGCTTAAAACAGCAACGAAACTGAAAACACAGAACATTTGCCCCTTTCAGTAGTTTGCACAGCTTAAGAATCCTTACCTCGTCATCAGATGCTAAGTGTTGAACTGAAGTTTCATTTGGACTTTGGGATAGTTTTATTTCTGTCCGTGCATCTGGTTGGACAGAAGAGTCCCAGAAGTTGCACTCAGATGCCTGCTTTGTCCAATCAAGTGCATCCCAAACTATTAACTCACCCACATGAGAACCTGTCGCAAAAGTCAAATCTAGAGGGGAAAAAAAAAATTAAAAAAAAAAATCACATTGAGATCATATTACTTTAAAACAAACAAACAAACCCATCCATTTCAGACAAGGCTACAGTCCTACACAACAAAAAAGATTATGTCAGCATAAAGCTATATGTAGAATGCAGTCACTAACTGACTGAACAAAATCCTCTTCCATTTGAGAAAATTTTTATTTGATTACTTAGAACAGCTGAGGCAATTGAAAGGAGATGAGCTCTCTCCTGTAAAATCAAAACTAGCAAAGAGGGCATTCACTTGCTGCAAAGCATAGTATGACAAAGGCAGAGACCATCACTGATAGTATGTACAAGTATTTGAAGTTCATATGTTGCTTACATGAAAAAGCCTCTTATTCCTTTGATAAGTAGGTACATCAGTAAGCCAGAAACAACCACCAGAGAACCCAAATTTTATTCACTCCATCTCTTTTCAGTAGGCCCTTTGTGCCAATCTGGCTGGCACATATTAGCTAGAGTACAAATATACCCTCTGTCACAATGAGAATAACTTCTCCTGGGCTCAGAGGGAACTCAAAGAGACAGATAAGATAACAAAACAGAAGGGTAACTACAGTCTTTACCTAGGCAGAATTTCAGGCAATCCCTTGGTCCACACAAAATAAGCAACAGAGACTGCATTATCTTCCAGAGCCTCTAAATAATGCATCTAAGTGCAGGCCTACATCTGTACCCTCTGAGCCTTTTCTACATCACAAACCTACTTGGTTTGATTTCACATTTCACTGCCTTCACAGCTACCACTTACCACAGGATCACTTACTAGATATGAAGCTTCACTCCAGTTACAAGTTTGGTCCCAACAAGAAGCATGCAGTTGAAATATTCCATCAAAACCCCTACTTACCATTGACACTGACCAATGACAAGATGTTATCTTGATGATCGACAAGGCGTTTTACTTCAAGGATATTCCAACCTTCAGACTTATCACTGGAAGCAATCAACCTAAAAATGACTTCCAAGATAATGAGAGAAACTGACTAAATAAGCTTTATCATTTGTCAGAATAAAATATAGATATGCTCAAATAAAATAGATCATATTCAGACAGACACAAATTTAAGCACATTAAAAGTGGGACAGTGCAAGATGCACAGTACCATTTATGATCATCTCTTTAACTGCTTTCCTCATAACACAAAAATGTGAATAATTTATTACAGTGTTATTATTAAGGTCTCCTATTACAGTAGCTGTAGGGAACAAGATTTCTACTTAGTAACTTTGATATTTAGAGAAATGATCAACATCAGAAATTGTACAAAGCAGAAGTGGAAAGAAACATCTGTATTGACAAGTAAGGTAAAAACAATTGCTGTCTCACAGACTTATTAAACAAAAGGATGAAATACTCTGTAATATCGCAATCAAAGTCTCCAGTAATTAAGACTTCCTTTTAATCAGTCTTGGAATTTCTTTTTTGCTATCTCAAAGGCATGTCAGAACCGAGGGAACTTCAGATGGAAGTTTATGCTGTATACCAAAGTCTAAACAAAAGAAGACTATTTCTGGTTTGCTCCCAACTCTCTGATCACACTATTAGATTTTTTTTTTCATCCAAGTATTTAACAATATCGAGCAAAATCTGTTGTTTTGTGGACTCGTTGCTACACTTTATCTCCTGAAACTTTTTCTACATTTTGGCATTTCAACAGTTTCATAAAACACTTCCAAAAGGCTCCCTACAAACAGCTAGCAGATGATTTACACTTTGCATACATAGAAAAGCTTATCTCTAAGCGAGTATCAAAAATGACCATATCATCTCCTTGCAGCTTTGGATATTGTTTTATTGGCAATACTGCACTCTGTATCTTAGGAAACAGAGTTCCTAGGCACTGAACAGGTATGAAAACAAGTTCCAGACCAGAAGGACAAATGCAGATATCCACAATCAGATCTGTACAGGTGGCATTAATAATACTAAAAGAATGCATTGACCATTTCTCAATGAAACTCCTGAAGGAGACGAGTACTATCTGCTTTATTATCAAATAAAGAAAAACATAGGAAGGTTGCTAATTACATCTTAGTACCTTTCACTTTTCCTATACAACTCCAGCAGTGTTCTGAGTACAGGTATCTCTGATAAGCAATAACAGAAGATACTAAGACCTAACAGAAATCCAGAATACTCACTTAGCTCTTTGCCAACAGCAGCTGCAACACAGTTTTTAGGCAATTCAACCAAAGCACTAATACCTTTGAAAAATAAAGGAAATAAGGGAGAAAACAGTATTTATTGACCAAAAGTAAACACAGTTGCTGATAAATCCTTTGCAATAATGCTTTTCATAATTTTTGGTCCACATACAAATTACTAGCAAAACAAAATCATACTGCATGAAGCCAAAGTAAAAACGCAACAGAAGTGAACAGATTACTTCAGATGGAAGAAGAGTTCGGTTCAGAAACCAGCAGAATTCTTAGCACTGAACTTGACATAGGAGCTAAAGTTCCTACAAATAATCTTTTTATTTTAAGTAGTGATAAGATGTACATGCCCTAATGCTGGACAACATAAAGGATACTGTGGTAATTATGAGACTTTAAATACGAGTTGTTGAAGTTATTAGATACTGATATGGCCACACTATACATGAGATTAAAATATTATGCAGAGCTAGCTGAAGCATAACTCTGCATAAGAGAAGATGCCCAGCTTACTGTTATCCTGCTTTTGTTCCACATACACATCCCAAAACCTGTGTTGTCACATTAACATGGGAAAATTCCCTGAAGAATAAAACAGTCTCTTTCTTCTCCCAAAAAGGAAGCAAGGGATCAGGAGAACCAACGCAGCACATTCCATTGGTCAACGCTACATACAAAAGTTTACATAGCACTCTATGCTACCAACTACAAACACCAATGAGAACTACTATTTGGTAGGATACTTTGCATCAAACCTAAAGAAATACTGGTATTCTCAAAGATTCAGAAGGGTTTTACTTACAGCTATTACTTATATGACAAAAATAAGGAAAATTAACAGCTTCATAGCTATCTTTGTAAAGCATAGCAATAATGTGTAACTATTTTCTTTGCACAGCTAGATAATATAAGGTTATTAACAGAAAAGCATGAATTTGAGGTTTTGATAGAAATACAGTAAATATAATCTGATCTCAACCTTCTACAAAAAAAAAAAAGCACTGATTCTTAATAATGAACAGAAATTTTACTACTCTACTTCTAATACCATTAAGTTTTAAATAGAAATAATAAAACTCCAGCTCCTTCACAGAGGAAGTGAAAGGATCTGGCCCCAATTACAGCAAATGCATGCAAGTCAGCAATAGAGGGTACAGCCCTCTAAGATTTCAAGTTAATTGGAACACATTTATTGCAAAATATTTAGAGTAACTGTAAAGTATTACACTTACTAAGGTTTGACATACTCTAAAATTCACGTAGCACAGGAGACTAAAAGCAGTCTTAATTTTGAAATGATTACGTTTGACATTTTTAAAAAGTGGCTCTAATACATAATGTTATCATTAAAATTAAAGAGAATTTGCCAAGTTGGTTTTGCATCATTATACAGATCCATTTTACTTGCACTTTAACGGCTATAATGAGTCATTTACATTTTTACCTGCATCAGTAAGATGACTGGTCTTACACAAGAGATCTAATTTTCGGTTCCAAACACATAGATCACTCCCTCCAGACAACCATACATCCAGTCTTTGAAGGACTGTCAAACACTGCAGAATAAAAATCAGATATATGCCCCCTGCAAAAGTTCTGCAGGGAATTTTTCACTAACGTGATCGTGAGCTTTAGCTAGATGAACCTGCAAGTACTATGAAATACAGTACTAAATGCCAGTTTCTTGAGAAATACAGAATTAATTACATACTGTATGTTACATTTTTTCTATCAACAATGCAAGATCTGATCTCTAATGATATTTTCGATTAACATTCAAGAATAGTTTGATTCCTGATTACCTTTTCCAATGCAATAACAAAACAGAGGTACAAAATCACCCTTAATCTATAGCCTTTCAAAAACAAAATTGAGGAATTCAAAGTTCCAGAAAGAAATTAAGAACTTCTTAAGAACAGTTCTCAAGCAGTCACTGTTAAAGGGTTACATCTTCTAAAATTACACTGTTGTTCATTTAAATACACTTGCCCATAGGAAGACCCACACAGAAAAGATTACTGTGCACAAAAAGAGAGGCAGACTTAGGGTTTCCTCAGCTTACCTTTACAGTAGAATGGAAACATGACACTTTTTGCACCTGTCTGCCAGTAGTGCAGTCCCAAACCTGACTTAATTCATTAAGGAAATTGATTTTATATATTTATTGTAACTGCTGTGTTTTTAACTAAAGGAGAGTCTGGGATATATTTATGCAGAAACTCAGTCTTACAGCTTCAGATTGTCTTTTCAAAAGGCCAAAATGACATGCTAATAATTGCCTATCATTAAGATTCATTTTCCTAGTAGGGATTACATCCAACTGTGAGCAATGACTAGAAAAAAATCCTAGTTTGATCCACTGCTTTACCAGCCAATAAATTCAAACAACACATAGCCTCTGTAAATGCTTCCAATAAAAACAAACAAAAAAAAGAAGTTCAAAACCTCTCCAGATCCAAGGATACAATAACTGTTCTATCAGCTGATGCTGTTAAAATCAAATGACTGTTTTCTTCAGAAGCATCTGATGAAAAAAATGGTGCTATAGCTGTAATCTTGTGTGTGTGACCATGAAGTTCAAAAAGTTTCTCTCCAGTCTGAAAAATAAGAACAGGGAAAATTAAGGGTAAAACTTGGATTAAACCTATTGTAATACATGACACAGGTACCAAAGTACTTTCGAAAACAAAAATTTCTAAGAGTCTAAAATGTCAATTTCCAAAATCATTTATGGTTTCACTTCACTAGACCTTCAACACTTTCCAAAATCTTATTAAAGTTAAGTTAAATAACATATTAAGTACCTACATGAAGAGTATTACATAACAAATACAGTGGTTTTCACATTTACAGAGCACAATTTCCATAAGAGTTTATTTATTTTAGAAGAGTTTCAAAAATTACAATGAAATTTTTGTCACAGCAAGCGAGGCCTTGCTTTGGCACTGAGTGAAGAACTTAACTATCAGTGATTGGTGTTCTTCCAATAAAGTTCTGCATCAGCTCTCCATTTAGACTCATCAGTTTTAATGCAGTTATTGCAAACAGGGCTACTAATTCTGAAAGAGTTATATACTGGGATCTTGCCATATAATCACAAAGTCCACAGTCCCAATATGACTGATGATGTGTTGATGTGAAAAGCAGAAGTGAATATGAACTTACAACTAATTCTTCTTTTAATATATGCTCAGTGCTTGCTGAAAACACTAAGGTGCTAACTGTGGACTTTGTGATTATATATCCACTTCTACATTCTCAAATAGTATTTCTGATACAAACCAATGCAGGAATTTTTTATGCTAGCAGACATTCCAAATAGCTCTCAGTAATGCTTACTTCCTCTGAAACAAATCATCTACCCCCACACACACTAAAAAAGAGCAAACCTGAGCATTCCACAGAAAAATGATTCCATCATCCCCTGCAGATGCAAACCTGGTAAGAAATACAAAGTGAAACCTTGAATATATCATAATATAATGGAACAGAAGTAAAATTATACATAAAAAATATTTGAAATATTAGACTCTTGATTTTGATCTAAGGAATAAATAAATATCCATAAATCTCAATTAGTTTTCAAATTGAAGTCCTGAAGTCAGTACATTTAAATAGGGGTTTGCCAACAAAGAACAAAGCTAGAGAATTCCAATAAATACTATTATAAACAGAAGCCCACATTGCAGAACCAATTCTCTTGTTGTTTGAAAATTTAATGAAAGATTTTATATACTGAATAACCTCACAGCCTAAAGCCAAATATTATCAGTCAGAGCCAATTGACTGCATGACATCAAACAAATTAGAAACCACTCATCTGAGTTCAGCACAGGAGTAGAGGAGCCCAGTATTTACCGATACTTGCAGGTAGCTTAAAAAGCCTCCCTAAGGTCTGTATTTAAGGCACCAGCAGGGAGAGAGAAGCAATTGCCCCTTTCTACTTTGCCCTTGTGAAGCCCCCCATCTGCAGTACCGTGTACAAACCTGGGGCCCAAGTAGAGGAGGGATGTGGACCTGTTGGGGCAGTTCCAGAGGAGAGCGATGAAAATGACTGAATACCACTTATTACAAAATGTTGAGGGAACTGGGCTTGTTTAGCTTGGAGAAGACTCTAGGGAGACCTCACTAGTATTTAAAAGGAGCACCTAAACAGGAAGGACGCAGGCTTTTTACATGGAAAGATAGTGATACAAGGGGGAACGGTTTTAAACTGAGATTTAGATTAGATACGTGGAAGAAATTCACAGTGTGGTGAGGCACAGGAACAGGGTGCCCAGAGAAGCTGTGGTGCCCCATCCCTGGAGGCACTTAAGGTCAGGTTGGATGAGGCCCTGGACAGCTTGAGCTTGGGGGCAGCAGCCCTGCCCATGGCAGAGCATTGGAACTTGATGGCCTTAAGATCTCTTCCAATTCAATCCATTCTATGTTCAATGAACTAAAATGTCTACTCACGTGCAAGAAAGTAGTGAAGAAGAAAATTTATATCACTTCTGATTTTTTTTTTCTGTTGCCAGATACAAATGTTTTCATTAACTACACAGAAGTCTTTCTTTTGGACTCTTACTTTGTAGTTACATTGCCTGTGAAACCTGCTAACAAAGTAAGGCTTCTGGCAGAAAGCTGTACTCCCTCAGCCTCAATTATTTTCAAATGTCCTCATTTTTTTTTTCCCTGTTACAGTAAGAAATATGTGCTAAATATGCTTTTTTTTTTTTTTTCCTATCTTTTGTTATATTACATTGAATCACACCTCTTCTTTGAAAAGAATATAGTGAAAAAACATCTTCCATGTGTGCCTTTAATAACAGTAATATGTCATCTTTAGTGCACTTTTAGCTGAATTACGCATTGTTTTGCCACAAGGTCAAGAACTTAATCAGACTCTCACATCTCAGCATGATCCCTTTAAATTCCAGCCGCTTTTCAACTAACGTTGGAACAGTGTGCTGCTTTACAGAATTCTGAAAAAGAAACTGGTGTTTGGAGGAAGTTTTGAGCATGATTTATCAGCACAGAAGTTAAATGCAGCACTCTTCTGTTTCCTCTTCAACATCTAACCTGGATTTCTGTTTAAGCAGAGGTACACTGTAGGGTAGCTGACTTTACAAGTACATCCTGTTCACCCAGATGGAGTTTCGCAGGTGACCTGATTCTTTTCCAGTCATGATCACCATCCTTTGTAACCCTGTCTGCTTCCTGAAGGAGTAAGGAATGGTCAAATGAGCAACAAAAAAAATCTATTCTTAAAATGTGTTATGAACTCTGTTTAGTTTAATGTGTCAAATGCTAGAGTATAACATGCAATTTTATCTCAGTCATTTTTTGGAAGACACTTGCTGAGTCTTAGCCTTCTTTAGCAATCTCCCAATCAATATGACCCTCACTTCATGATCAAAAAAATACAAGATAAAAGGAAAAAAAAAAAACAAAAAACAACAGCTTTCTGTTACATTTATACAGGATTTATTTAGTATCTTCAAAAACCAATCTGAGAAAATTTTCCACTCACTGGTTTTAGCTGAGCCACTGAGAAAACAAGAAAATCCTTCTGCAAAATTCTCAATAAGATGATATTATCTAAAGATCTGAAGCGTGAAACTTGGCTTACAACAGTTGACAAAAAGCACACAATGGAATAGCAGCAACTAAATAAAAACATTTCAGAAGCTGAGTAACAATACTAATTTTACTGAAAAGAATCAAGTGAAAAATATTATCAGCTGTTTAACAACCCAGAAACTACAATATTCTTCATAAATAAAACCCTTGAATTACTGTTCAGCGAGGCGACTATCAAACTCCCCAAACTCTCAGAATATTAACCACCTATGTAACTTACTCCTTATCCAGATGCTATTTCACAACCTATCTTCCATGTAGCCAACCAGGCTACAGCTTTATGCTGGTTACCATTAGTTTAACTCCAGTAATTTACCTACTACCATAAAATGATGCCCAAATTATAAAAGATTTCTTTACCTCAGAAAGTGCCTGAAATCTAAGAACAGTCTGGTATTTTATTCAGTGTATGTCTTAAGAAAAATGTAACTTGAAGAAAATTTATTTTTATAACTTCTCTGAAAAGGAAGGGAAAGGACTGAGGAAAAACAAATCACAATCTTCCAGTTTTAAATGAATTTTGCTTCTGGTTAATTAGTGTAATGAAAAAATGCCATGGAAATGAATGAAATTTTCTGCTAAACAGTTGTAAATTAAGAACGAAAATTGACAAGCTAAAAATCCTCCAGAGAGTGAAATATACATATATGTACATACATATATATATATATATATATATATATACACACACACACACACATATATATATATATATATATATATATATATATGTATGTATCTTGGCGTCAGAGGATCTCCAAGGTTGGAGCAGATCTCCAAGATCATCCAGTCGAACCGTCCACCTATCACCAATACTTCCCCACAGAACATAAAATGAACTAATTGGGAAAAAAATGAACTAAGGGGAAAAGACGTACCTTGCAAGTATATTATTAATATATCATTAATTACAATAATCCTCCACAAAATGCCTGTTTAACACTGTAAAGATAAAGCATAGGTAAGAGCTTGGTTTCTGTTTGTGTATTGTACTGAACGGTACATCAAATATTCCTCTGCGCATAATCCATAAACGACAATAAATACTCCTCAGAAAATAGACTCCCACCTATTAAGTAACGTAACTAGTTCTGAGGGTTTTCTATTTAATTCCTCAAGACAGATAAGAGTCATTCTGGTTACTATTGACTAAAAGTTTCACAACTTTATTCTAAGGCAGTTATTTAATTTGTCTGTTTAATGATTAGGTTAAAAGAGAGAGCATGCAAGGTTAATTTTACACTAAGAAAAAAGGACCATACTTCATTCTCCTAGACACGCTTTCAAAGAAGCAAAGGTAAAGTTAGTGACTTCATCTTTGCTTCATAATCAGATTTTTTTTTAGATGACACCTTCCTTGGAATTTAACTAGTTACAAAAAAAATAAGAACAGAACAAGGATACCAGGAAATACATGAAAAAAATGCACAAAGTTAAAATTGCATGAGAGAGACAATGGAACTGTAAGGTTTCAAGTAAGTACAGCAAATTGAAAACAGGAATTTGGAGTAAAAATATAACATAGTGATTAGCCCCTTTTCAAATTTTAGTAGTCATTATGCACAGAATTAAACTACTGAACACTTCAAGATTTGAGAATTTCAGTTGCATCAATTGCAGGTCAAGAGAATTAAGCACTGGAATTTCAGAACAAAGGACAACAAATGCATTGCTTTTGACCCAGGAATAGCAATATTCAGTGAGAATACACTGTTCAATTACTACATTGAGGGGATCTGTAAGAGATGTACATTAATTTGTGGAACCGAATGGTGAAATGCAACAAATAAACTCAAATCAAGAACACAGAACACATCAGACCACACAGGAAAAAAAAGGAAGCACTATTCTGTAATGTCTCAGGAGAAGGTATGTGTATGCATATACAGAAGGGAAAGTTCAGCCCAGAAAACTATGGGCTCAATTAGCTAAAGGTGTTTCCTTCAAATAAATGAACTTGAGAAATGAAAGTAACTACTTCACCATTCTTTTTTCATAAAAAGACAAACAACGGAAAAACATAATAAAATAAAAGTGTTCACCCCATGTCTTTTTAAAAAGTCTTTTCCTCACCCTTCCCCAGCAAAAACAGAGAACTGAGAACATTTCTATATTTTTAAAGCTATTATCTGAAGCATTCCCAAGAGCATTATGGAACAATTTAAGATGCAATTTCTTACCTGTAATCATCTATTTGTACAAGAAAACGTACTATATCTTGATGACCTTTCAACACAAGGAGCTCAGTGTAAGGATTTTGTACTTGTTCTTCACCAATGGTCTGTACAGACGATTTCTAAAATTCATTTTAAAAAAAACAAATTCATTTTGTGCTGTTGCTTTCATCAGGTTTTTGTAACATTTAACAATGTATTTATAGCCTCATGTGCAAATGTATAGTTACATTTAAAGTTAAATTAATTTTCTGAAATAATAATTTTACTTTAATTAAGATCGCCAGAAAGGCTCATTTCTTATCACTTCAAGTAAATAATATCCTTTTAGAGTATTTTAAATCAAAATAGAGCATGTTCTGTTTGAAAAACATTTTGTACTTTGTTCACTGATCTACTGAGACAAAAAGCCAGATCAGTCACCAGCTACCACATGGAGCCAGCTACACATACCATATGTTTAGTTTTTCATTAAATTACATACCCTCCTGAGAGGTTTCTGCATCTCCTGGTTATCTCCTCCTACCATTCAATTTTGAAGTTTTATATAAAAGACAACACCTTCAATGATGTATCTGTATCTACATATCTCATCCACTGCAACACTATTCACGAAATACCAAAGCCAACAGTTTAAAAAAAGCATGGAGGACGATTAATCACTTCATAGGACAGCATCTACAATTACATCAACAAGACTATTAATTAAAAGCACTATAAATCACTTGGAGCAAGCTGATCATCCGGCAGGGTCAACAAAACACTGTATAAGCACTGCTGAGTTGAATAGGATAGTTCTGCTAACGTCAATCATCAGTTTGCTCAATAGAAGGCAATCTCTTCATGCTTACACTCTTTACTTTCAAGCGTTATGAACAATTTTCTATTAGACATAACTTTTAAAAATGCCAAGGACATATAAATTACTAAGCAGTAATTCAGTGACAAAATTCTTCCACTTCCTAACTTTATTACCACTACGACCGTCTGTTCTTTAAAGATATCACAGAAACTACTGTAAAACTGTAATTACTGAACACTGTAGCATAAATGAGAGATAAACCTACATTAGACAAACATCCTCAGAAACATCAATATTTTCCTGCAGGAACAACCAATTATTTTCCATTATTTCTATGTTGGTACTTCACAAGTTAAGAACAACAAAATTAATAAAAAGGGAAGGAAATCTGTGTTATATTTAAAATGAAGAGGTTGTCAAAATGCTAGTTCTTGCAGTTTTATCTTGGTTCTGTGGTATCTGATGCATTTCATGAAGCAACTGTTCCTCATTTTATGCAATTATGTGAGAATAGCAGTTCCCATTTAAAACAATGGAAGTATAGTCCTCAGAGTTATAAAGTAGAAAAATATGAAAACTAACAGTTCGGCCATGAAAAGCAAATAAAAATATTCCTTTAAAAAAAAAAATAAAAAACTAGCATTTTAAAAATACTAAAATATCTCAGTAGCATTCAGCTGATGACATAAGCAGTACTGTAGTCAAAAGAGTCCAGCTCTTTTATTTAATAAGAGAAACATGTATTCACAAAACAATTGCACCACTGCTCTGAAAAAGCCAGGACTTATAACACCAACATCCTAATTCTATATTCTGTCTTTGCTTCTTCTTCAGTATAACACAGTGACACTTCCTTTGAACCTGCCTAATTTTTTTTTTCTGACTTCCGCTTCACCTAAGATTGCCCATGAATACTGAAAGATACAGTGCTGCAATGTGATGCAGAGAACAACAACAAGTTTTTCCTCCAGTTGTGCCATACTGCAAGCCATTCTTGCTTCAGATGTTCAGATGTTAAGATGAATCTTCTCAATTGTTAGATTATACTTGCATTCCTTCTTTGCAGAAGTCTGCTTGATGTAAACTAATTGTTAACTGAACTCTCCTGTAGCAACACCAACTTTTTACAAGATGAGATGCTGATCCCAACGGAATCCATTCCCAACTTCCAGGTTTTTATGCAGGGTCTGCAACCATCACTGCAATAATAACATTCAACACAGCTTCACAACTTTTTGATAATCCCTGTGATTAGAAGCGCTTAAAGGTGGGATGTTTAAAAGCAATCCACCAAAACTGGATACAAAAGTATACAGAGATTCTTCTGTAGTTACCCTGTACTCTGGAGCACAATAGAACAGTTTGTACGGACTATCAGGCACACACCGCGGCCATCAACATAAGAAATTCAGGACCTCGAGTCTAAATCATATACTGTGAAACTGAAAGAATGGAAAGGCTAACAAGAAATTCATATTTCCTGAACGTAAAATTAAAAACTTTTGTCAAAGGTTTTCACTATTCTCTTAGACTCTAGTCCTTCTGCCTCTCTGAGACCGACCGAAGCCACAGCAACAAACCAAACGCAACCAGCCCAAAGCCTACTGGCTGTAATGGACTCCCTCATCTACGCTGTTCAAGTACGAAGGCAATTAATGGTTATGAAGATCATCTTCACATTGTCTGTAGCACAACATAGTGCAAAGGGGAAAATAAGCTTCCAAAAATCATCTTTATGAGTACTTATTTGTCAGTTTTCCACTGAGGGAAAATGCCATCATTCAGCACATAGAATGCAACACAGTGATATCAGTGGAGAAAAGTCCCATGGATCATGCTTATGAAAGTCAAGAAAGGCAGAATGGGAGAACTCCACTACATTTACGCCTTGTTAAAATATGGTGAGCCTTGAATGTAGCTCAAGCTTAAACTCCGGAGAGGAGCAAACAGCAGGGGAGCTGCCTAGCCCATTTTAGCATTGCTGTTACCAACTCCTGCCCTGCACACAAATCTGCTGAATACAACCACAGGATAGCCGATGTTTGGGCCGATGACGCAGGTCAGTGGCACTGCCGCCGTGGTTAACACTGACATTAGAAACAAAACAAGACGCAGTCACGGCTTGCTCACGCACAGCCGCTGAAGAATGACTTCCTCGTGTCTGTCTGGCATTAAGAGTGAAAATCCCCGCAGCAGCGTTGCTAATTCCTGTTAAACGCAGGCTCGGTTCAGCATTCCTCGGGACGGGGCAAAGACGGCAGTGCCTCCCTCACACCCAGCACGACACAGAACCAACCCACACACCGGCCGTGACAACACCGTCACGGCCCGTAGTGCTCCTTACCTCCGGCGCGGGGCTCACAGCGCCACCCCGCAGCACGCACAGAACGCGCAGGACCGGCTCACAGCCACCCGGCGCGGCGCGGCAGCCCCACCTCACCCCACTGCTCCCTCCCGGGGGGTTGCAGGGAGACGCCCCCCTACCAGCGGCCTTACTCGGCCCCGCCGTACCTCCACCAGGCCCTGCGGCTCCCGGCCGCCCCCGATCAGCCAGCGCAGCATCCCACTGCCGCCGCCTCGCTGCAACTGCGGCCCAGCCCCTGCCTCCGCGCCGCCCCGGCGCACGGTTTCCCCACCGCAGGAAGGGCCTTCTTAATCGAGCTCCGCGCCGACGAACGAGCGGGCCGGGAGAGGCCTGAACAATCGAGCACCGAGTGCGTTGATTGCACACGGTGGCAAAGTAAAGGTCTTTCCTTCGCTAGGTTCTGATCTGCCGGCTTCCAGTTCCAGAGGAAATGCTTTACAATCTGAGAATAACAATCACGTGTTATTGCTACCCTCTTGCCTGTTTCCTGAAATAAAAAATCCCCCGAACTGCTTGTCTCTAACATTTTCTTGCGTTTAGCAGCTTCCCTTGACTGCGGCTGCTTTCATTCTCTGCTGAGCCGCCCTGGGCTCCACGATGTCTGCGTTGAACTGGAGGATCCAACACTCTACCTAGCCTCCAAAACAGGGCTATCCCGTCAGGTTAAATGCCGGTCGCACATCCCTCAGTCCTGCCCTCACCTCCCTTACAAATGTCTTGGAAGCCTTTAAAGATTCAAAGCTTGAATTCCAAAGGCTCAAGGAAGCGAGATTATAAATACAAACCAACTCAAAAGATTGTGCAGACCCCATTTTTGGGCAGACACAGGAAGCCATGAAAGTAAAAACCCATCTGATGAGCGCTACTCACTGCCTCTGAGCCATATATTTCGTTTGCCATCCTGTTGACTGCTCATCCATGTTGTTTCAGATAATCAGTGCCCCATTGCATCCTGAGATGTATTTGAGATTTCCAAAGTACTACAGCAGGAGAAAATAGTGGCTTGCTCAGACCTGAACTAGCAGTGACAGACCTGTGTGGAAAGCATGGCAATGTCTGGGATGAAATGCCTGCATTGGCATGTTCATCAAGCACAGGGTGGCATGCAATCTGAATATTGACATTTGTTATAAGCTGTGAATTCTCCGCTGCTTCTCAGAAGACTGAAGTTGGCGGTCACCTTGAAACAATTTTAAAGAGGATTTTACTCCTATAGCAGCACACCTCTGATTTTCTACTTAGTCACTGCAAATTTCACTGAAGCTGGTTTGTCAGCTCAGCAGCATTGTGGATTGCCAGTAAAGGGCGCAGTCACCAGGATGACTGTGTGCCTGCAGCTACACCTGCATGGGTGCCCATGGTAATATTTTGTCCTCACTAATCTGTTCTTTAACAGTCTTTCTAAATAATTTGGGCACTTGTTATCTTCTCCATTGGGCATTTAATTGCAGCTGATTTATTGGAAGGAAGCACTGTACAATGTAACACTTCTTACAGTTGTATGAGCTGTAATCTGCATATATGATATCCCCATCCCACCACCCAAAAAAGAAGGAGAGAGCACTTGGTATAACAGGAGCAGGAACAGGGAATGCTGCTTACTCAGATCAGAAACACGAACATGGATCTTCTTTCTTCTTTAATGCAGTGAGAAAAATTCACCCCTCAACTTCACTTTGCCTTTCCCATCATACCTCCCTACTTTAACCTATATTATTGTAATGGCATTCACACATTGGAAGATACAGGATAAAAAAACCCACAGAGCTGCAATGTGTAGGATTGTGTGGAGAAATACAGAGTTTTGTTGTTCGTGGCAGCCAGCCTGGAAGACTGTAGATATCATGCAGTCATAAAAATTGCTGGAATATATTCTTCAAAACATATGAGATGGAAATGTACCATGTTCCATCATGGTCTACATGGATTCAAGAGCATTGTGTGGCTTTGAAGGATTTCAGGAGCACTCCTTTTGACTTTTTAATTAAATTTGACTTCAGAGCTCTGCATTCAAACATCTTCAAAATCCTTTATAAAACTAAGAGTGTAGTCTGCTTCTGTCTCTTACTCCAGTCTCCATTTCTCTGTCTTTGTATGTTGTTTGAATTTTGATATTCCTCTTTTTTAAATCCATCTTTCAATACTAAAACAAACAAACAAACAAATATCTATTTCCTGGAGAAGCTTGTGCAGTTACTATGTTTGTATAGATGTTAAGTGATAGTGTGATACACCACTGCATGCCAGTTGCCAGGCTGAGATGAAGTTTCCTTTTAAATGTAATGGTTTATTGTTGTCAACCATTGCCTTTTGGTAAAGAGTTGTGCTAAGGTTCTTAAGCAATATCAGAATAATGTTTGAAGGCATCTGTCACTTCAGGAAATCTGATAAAAGTATTCTAGTTTACACAAAGACCCTCCTCCTCAAGCTTGTCATTTCTGGACCCTAGTTCCTTCACAGCTGGATGGAAGAACACTTCTTCTTTCCAACTTCTAGCACAATGTCTTCCATTGTAACATCCTGGCCTCATAATGCATGCGTAAAAATCTGCACAGTGGAGGTGAACCGCTGCCATTGTTGCCACTGCTGAAATGTGTCACCCACAGCCTCACTGAGCTCACATTCACTGTTTGGTCTCCATCAGTGTTCAGCAAGAGTCGATGAATATCAGTAGGTGCCATTTTTTCTGCATGGAGGAGCTCAGTGACACACCTTCTCTTCATGTCAGATGCCACTGTGTCAGTGCCTCTCTGCTGCCATCTGTGAAAGGGCAACAAAATGTAACAGAAAGAGTATTGGTGGGGGATTCAACCTCTGCTGCCATATAACCAACCACCTGCCTCAGACATCGTGGGCCAACATCATGAAGTAGGGAATATTACTTTCAGAGCAGCCCTCATACATTTAAAAATCCAAATTCTTCAGAAACAGCAATTTTATAGTTACATTAGACTGACAACATTAATATTCCTGTGAGCTTTTCATAGTAAGAATAGTGAATAGCAATACCACTGGGTCTGGTTGCTTAGTATTTGTTACTCTTCTCCAAATATTCTCAGGTTTGTGTCACAGACACATGTGGCACTTTTATTTCTCATCATTTTATCTCTCAAATGATTGTTAATAATAAGAAGCTTTTCACACAGTCACCCGCAGTCCTGTTAACAAACTGTGTAATGGCCTATAGTTTACTATATAAACTAGTAAACTAGACATTTAAACAAATCAACCAATCTTTTTGTTGCATGAACATGCATGTGTGTATAGATCTCCATGTACATATATCTACATACAAAAATATACAGGTACAGATCTGTGTAACTATGCCTAACGTGCATACATTAAAATTTAATTTCATATACCAGAAGGAAAACATTATTAATGCACCAATGTTTTTCTGCTAACATATTGCTGAAGCATATATCACAGTTTGATCGAGTTACAGATTTTATTTTTTTCAATAAATTACATTTATGGAAATGAATAGCAAGGTACAATAAACAGTTTCAAATGTCTTCTTAAGATGCAATTGGAAGGGCTTTTACAAAGAAGGTACCTGAAAATACTTGTTTTTGTCAAAGATGAGTTCTCTCAATCAAACCATGTACCTCTGAGATATAGTCAGCTGTGCTTCAGTTTCAAAATCCATACCTAACCCAGACAGTATTTTCCCCTATGTCTAATAAATATGTCAGTTGAAAAGTGCCTTCAAGGGTTTCGTACTCTACCAGAATCAAATATAGTCTTTCACATATTAAAGAAACAGTATTCCAACCAATATATGATATTTTAAGAGTATGTTACACTCCTCTATGACCAGCACGCATGCCTTAAAAATCCATTCTACTCTTCTTTATATTCAATTTCTATCAAATTTGTCCACTTCAGAAATAACTAAGAGGTCATTAAGTCACATTTCCAAGATCAAGTGAGCAACACAAATGCTCAGACACCCTCTTTTGCTGCAGAGATGTTACTCCTCTGTGAGGTTGGAGCCCAATGCTTCTAGGAAGCTGCTAGATAATGGAAGTCCAACCATGGGTGATAATTAGCTTGAATCTCTGTGTCTTGAGAGTGTTTCTGCAGTTTCAGTCTGTCTTGTCTGAGAGGGAGAAAATGCCTCTTCTCTGAAGAAGGGGTCACTGGCTTACGTAGAGTTTGCCATGGGCCAAAGAAGTGAGGGGATTCAGATCCACAAATGCAAACAAACAATATTGCCTTTTACCAGATATGAGGAGACTGCAAGCAAGGGTTTTGACACTCTACCAGTCAAACACTCCAACTAGACATGAAGGGAGATTAGAAACTCACATTTTGCCCATTTATATGGGATCTCCTTTGCACACAGTCTTCTTCCTCTGTTGTTTAGGTGATGAATCCATGATTTAGACAAATACAAAATAACACCAGCCACCGTCACTAGACACAGACTTACTTCATGCTCCATCTTGCCACAATGTCCGCCTGGAGTAGGATAGCCAGGTTTCCAGATCTTTGGCCTCAGAGCAGCTCATGTAGTGCAAAGATCCAGCGTTAAGTACCTGAGTGCTTTCTGTTCTTATGACCGTGTTGTAGCTCATGCCATTGACTTTGCTGGAGTCAGGTTGTGTAGTTCTACAGTTCATTTCTTCAAGGAGAACCTCACGAGATTGGGAAGGAGAGGAGAAAAATGTTGAATTGTCTTTAACTGAAGCAAAGCTTAGTGGTGACTTAGAAAAATTTTCAGAGAAATAAGACTACCTCTTCTTCTCCAGATTTAACACCTAACTGGGCAAAATGAATGCTTGGTTCTCCTGTCTGGTCTGAGCCATAATGAAGGGTATAAAGGTTCACATAATTGCACGTTAATGCAAATGAAGGGGAGAGATTACCCACATTTTTCTCAGTACAAGAGTTTTTGCATGTAGTTTTACTTTTTGGCAAAGATTAAGGTCAGTTCTCATTGTTTGTCACTCTAGGCTCGTAATGCCCTAAATTAAAGTAAGGAAAGATTTTAATGCTAATTCAGTGGATTGGAAGTGTGGTTTGTGTATTTCCATTTTAATGCTTTGATTTGTCACATTACAAAATTTATTTGTACTTGAATGATCCCATATCTGCTTGCAGGAACTCTGTGGCCTTGTTGTGTCACTGATATCATCAAGAGTTTTCTAATGTGTATTATGAAGAAAAATGTTTTTTGTGTGTGTGTATATTCTGTTTGTCTTAAATCTATTTTTTTT